AGGGCAAGAGCATTCACCCGTTGCTTGGAATCAATCAAATAGATCAATTTTTAATTTGGCCATCAGGATGGCAAAGCTGGTCCACCAAAGGAACAACTATGAACTTAATTACACAAAACCCCTGTTCGGAAGAAAAGAGGAGAAGCAAAGAGAGGAGAAGCAACGGACCAACTGTGAGAAATACTGAGCGAGTGACAAGGACAAGCAGGAGCAAAGACACCGATGGAACGGCTGGTGTGAAATGGGCGATTGCAAGGTCAGAGACTGGGAAAGTAATAGAGCGTTGGAGGTTTCAGGGGAGGGACAGATGGTGACAAAAGGAAGACACTCTGTGGAAACAAGACCCAGAGAAAGAGAGACCTGATTTCATGCATCACCTCTCTGACTGGGAGGCTAGAAAAAACATATATACATCACACACAGTATGATCATAGTATGGGTGACTTTGAACATGCATGGAGAAGCACACACACACAAAAACCTCTCTTCGTATGATTTCAGTTTCTCTTTTGGTGCCTTTTTGCTCTCCTCTTGCTGTGCTTTTCCTTTGGATTTGTGCTGCCTGGAGGTTGCTGGCCAAGCGTATCAAAGGCATTTGACCACGGTGGCGGCATGAAAGCCTTGCCCCAGACCATAACACCAGTCATAATCCAAGCTGTGCCACAGAAGCAGCACAAGATGAAACACACTGCAGACGGCACCCCCACATTCACTCAGAGGTTTCCCTCCTTACATTCAGCAACTACAGTGCTACCTGGAGCTCCAAATCATTCTGATTGCAGGTTTTCTCAGTGCCTCCCTTCGTGGTTACCTTACTGACTCAGCTCAGATCATGAAGTCATTAGAGCTTGACTGCCACTGAATTTGTGAGGCCATGAGGCACAAATACTTGGAAAGCAGTTTAAAGCAGAGTTATGGGTATGCTTTTACTTTCAGTGCATTACAACTTCAGCTCCAAATTTTAGTATTAACAAATGCGGTGTCATTAGGATAAAGATTAACTTTTTTAGTTCAGAGCCTGTGTCCATTGGAACGTGTTTAATGCCATCATGCAACTCTTACAAAATTGCTGCTAAGTAAACAAAAAGAGTTGGTGGTTAGATAAAATCCAGATAGGTGTTTTAAAGTTATTTTTCAATGGGCATTAAGGAACATAAAACTGATGTGTAATTTATTAAAGGTATAGTGAAGGAATTTCGCAAATGTTTGAAAAAAATGTATATGCACAACCCAATACCTGCTCGCGAGAGGGAACATCTATTAACCCTTTAAAGCCCGATCCAAGAATAAAACAAAACAGAAAATTCCTTTTTTTTATTTGAAGTCATTATTTGGCCTTTTAACAAAATATGTAAAAAGAAAAAACAGAAATACATTTTTGATATTAATAATTTATTACTATGGGATAAGTCAAGATTATTTTTTGTGTAGTCTTCTGCCCTCTGTTATCAGGTAAATCTGATTGTGTACAAAAGGATTTTGAGCAAAGTTTTTACCATTAAATTATGCAAAAGGTGTCAGACGCAAAACATTTCAGAAACCGTATGTATCAAATATGATACATTTGGCATTACAGCCTTAAACACATGTTAGAGCATGCACAAGTCCATTTCTTCTCATGCACGCTCTGTTTAAAAGTTGCTGTTTGCATCGCTCATACAAGCTTACTTTCCAAAAGACGATTTGCAATTTTTCCACTATGTCCGACTGGACTTGGTTTCCAAAGTATGACTTGGAAACCTATACAGATAATTTATGGCTGTTTGTTTTTATCTTTTTTGGAAGATCACCAGAATGATTGACACTTAAGAGGACCAGTGTTGGGAAAGTTCTCTTTCTATGTGAACTAGTTGAAAGTTCAGTTCACACATTTTAAAATGAACTAGTTCAGTTCATAGTTCATAATTCAAAATTTTGAACTAAGTTCACAGTTCCAAAAAATGAACTAGTTCATAGTTCTTTTTTTTTAATATATTTCTCAATTACATCATATGTAAAAGACATGTTCGCACAATGTCTTTTAAGCAGTCTTTTGTAAATATTAACAGCCCATAAGTTATCACCTAAATAGTGCCCATTTTGTGACATGGCAATAATTGGTGTGTCTGATTGTGAGGTCTCTTGTGAGTTACTGTACTATATAGAGCCAAGTTTTAATATTCTTAAAAAAGTGATGCTTCCACCACTTATAGTTGGATTACAATGAAAACAGAGAGCTATATCATAGTTACCGTTTACTTCTCTCATGTAAGAGCGACATACTCTGTATCTAAATGATAGTTTTACATCTCTGTTCAACTGGAATTATAACTGTTTCATTTATTTTAATAATCTTAGGCTTTTTTTAATTTGGTAAACTACTAGGTTTCCCTTTTTCGTTTTGTTTAATCACTTGATCTAAGTTTAATAATGTTTAATACAAAGTTGTGTTCAATTTGTCAATTTAAAAAATAAACAGTGAGACAAAACTAAAAACCTACAAATAGATCATCCATCTAATAATGCAGGCTGGGAAAGAGGAGCCAACAGTAACCCTGAGGGACGCTTACGACTTACACATTTATAATGTGGGATAGTCCACTAAAAGAACATTTAATACTGTGGTCTTTATGGGCAAAAAGACAGGCATTGTTTAAAGACAATAACAACAAAAATGTATAAAGTAAAGTTTATATCATGGAAAACATGCAAGCATAAGAAGTTGACCTTATGTTCACTTAAAAAGCTACATTTTAAATGCTGTGTGTGGTGGAAAAGTACTGTTACAAATCAACCTGAAAACACCATCCTAACAACATATTCTCATTATCAGTTCGTATGAAATCGTACGAAAAGTTATGCACAGTATTTCATATGTTTTCGACGTTTTTCCTCGAAAAAACAGATGAGTGCGCATGCGCAGCCAGACAGACGAAAAAAGGACGGACGTAAAACTGGGAAAAACTGTGCAATAATTACTTCTTGATGTCTCTAACTGTGTTGCTTGCTGTTTTGTATCTTAGGGTTAGGGTTAATTGTAGGTTAAATTCTATGTTATTGAATGGTGCGTAAGATGCGCAGAGGCAAGGATATCTTGTCTCGAGGGAAGACGTACAAATACGACGAAATACCACGAAAAAAATGTTGAAAACGTACGAAATTACTGTGCATAACTTTTCGTAAGATTTCATACAAACTGATAATGAGAATACACTGATCCTAAATAGAGAAAAACAGTGTAGCATCACGACGTGGACAATTTTTTAAATTTTTTTTTATTAGCGGGAACAAGGAAACTAGTAGAAGTTGATAAGAGCTAAATCCAGAGAACAACTGAAATGTTGCGGACATGCAAGTTCATCCACCAGTAGGACAACGACGCAAAGCATACAGATAAAAATGTGATGGAGTGATTTAGAGTTTCTGCTGGAGGTTTCTTCCTGTTTAAAGGGAGTTTTTCCTCTCCACTGTCGCTACAAGCATGCTTAGTGTGAGGGATTGCATTCGAATCAATGAGTCGATGCAATCAGCTGGTTTTCCTTAGATAGAAAACTTTGAATCAATCTGACTGTATTATCTGGTGAACTGTAAAGTGCCTTGAGATAACACGTGTTGTGAATTGGTGCTATATAAATAAACTGAATTGAATTGAACGAAAAATCTAACTTAAACAGAGGGGGTGGAATCAGATTTCAGCTTTTAAAAACTTGCAGCAATTGAGTTGATTCCTTCCCTCTATCATTACAGGGGAACAGAACCCCTCGCCTGTTCAGCCAGGCCAGCAATTCCCTTTAACGACCCCCCTTTCAGAGACCTAGACAGGTATGGGGTATTGCAGTCTAACAAAGAAGCCAAACGACCCCTATTCCAAAGGGGCGGACCCGTTCGTCTGGTTGAATTTGGATGTTTTCTACTCCAAAACAAGGCTTTGTTTATTTTGTCCCACTATAAAGCCTCAAACTCAATTCTATTTCTGACATTTTGAATTGAAAAATTCAAACGTCCAGTGAATTGTTTAACTTTTTTGAAATATTTAAAAACCATCTGCTCTAAAATACTATTACCACATTGCCTATATGTTTCAACCCCTGTCTTTCCTGTTAGCTGTCTTTTTCCTTCTATTATGCACACCTCTTTTTCCCTCTGTCGGTACACTGACAGTAAATTCTTACCATGTTCTGATGAGAGAGAGGCTAGTTAAATGCCTTGTGAGGCTTAGGGGCCCACAAGGGATCCTTCCAATAGCAAGCCAAATAATGAAAATGTAATTCTCAAGGCATAATTAAGTTAGAGATGGTGCGATTACTGTGTGATCCATTAAAAGTGGTGGCAAAAGTAATTACTCATTCAATCAGCAAGGTTTTTATCACGATATAAGGTAGTACCGTGTTGCTTTACCTCTATACAAGTCATTTTATTCACAAGACTACATTACTTAAGCTGTGATTGGACTTCATGACAGCTTGATCATCTCTGTGGTAAAACCTTGGTGGAATGAAAAGCCTTTTTCTATTCAAATTAAACCTTTCATGTAGACGTCTGCTTTTACGTATCCTTCCATAGGTTAAGAGATGCTTATTGCTTACCCTTTCTGGGGAAAGTATAATAATCTCAATATGGATGCTTTCCCATAGGCCTGGCGTGGTGTTATTAATTCCTGCTGAAGTGTTTGGACTATACCGAGGTTAGAAAGTGCAAGAAGAAACACAGAGGAAATAAACACTTGGAAGCAATTCAGCATGTTGTGCATCTGACACCTCCCACTCCAACATATGGGGAGTTAAATCTGCCCACGCAGATGAATCTCCAGAGACCGGGTCAGTCAACACAAGGGTGCTCACAGAAACGTGTGAGGATTGCACTATACTTGAGTCCAACATGTTCTCACTGCAAATTCTTTGTAAAAATGTTGTATCTTTAGAGTAATAATAAGAAAAAACAAAACAAAAAAAACTTGGGAGAGATTTGGACCCAGTTTCAGTCGGACCGACAAAATACTGTGTTTTCAGAACAAGACTCACGTCTTTAAGGCATCCCATGAAGTTGTTGCTGACTGGTGATCCCGGCAGGTCCGCTGTGTTGGGGCTTCCTCCAATGTAGAAGAAGTCATCGGAGCCCAACATGGTGTAATCCTCTTGCGTGTACCCAGTGGTGGTCAAAATGCCATCAACAGAAATGGTCACCTAGTGAGGCATCGGCATAAAAATAAAAAGAAAGACAGAAGTAGAAAGAGAGAACAATAGAGCAAGAGTAAAGAGTGATAAGAGAGGAGAGAAATTGGAGAAAATGAGGGGAGAAACAAGGAAGATGTTAGATTAAACATCATAGGGCTGTGTCCTAGGGTGTATTGCTCTCTTTTAATGCCAGTCAGACTGAGGATGTTCACTGTAGAGTGCAGTTGTTACAGTCAGGCTGTTACTGCCATGAACTCAATGTTATTGATCATTGAAAGTGGGAGGATGAAATAGTAAGTAGGAGTATTGCTTTTATCGAACCCTGGGTTAAGAAGGGCTAAAAATCAGCAAAATTAAACAGAAACCTAATCTTTTTGTTTTAATGTTAATAAAACCATCTACCACTAAGAAATATTTACTGAAGTACGCACACACCGTTTGATTCTTACAGGAGAGAATTTTTCTCTATATTCTTTCCACCATGTTCCTGGCACAGATATTCTATAACATCCTTTAGCTGAACCAGTTTTCATTTCAGGCGCTATCCCTAAAAATAACTCTCTTTCCTATTTGAATTGCCTCCAGTCTTGCATTCTCTGAGTTACACATTCTGCATTGAATGTTTGATTACTGTCAGAGCAGACAGTGTTGGAAGAATGAAGAATCTGGAGGTACAGAAGTTGAACGAGTATAGAAGAGGAAAAACAGGCCTTAGATTCTTCAAACTTCTCTTGTTCTTACATTCTTCAGGATAAAACGTGCTGTTCTGAGAGGCTGTTTCAAAGCTCAAATAAAATCCTCGTATTTGAAATTCTGAGACTCAGTAATCTGATATCATTAGAGCATGAGTAACCCAAAGAAATAATATGTTTTATCCCCCATTTCACTAAGATCTGTGAGAGCTATTCTTCTCAGACAGAGCTTAGAAGACAAGAGGAAGCAGCGGCTCTAAATGTCACGGCAGCTTGTTCGCTAATAGTTCAATAACTACCTGGGGAGTGAGAAAAATGAGATGTGGGACACACTCAAGGAAAACATCTTGCCTCCAATCATAAAGTAATCATAGTGAACAGATTTATTTTTCTCCCCATATCAAACTTATTACAATTCAGACAAAATTGCAGTACTCGATGAGTATGCAAATAACTATAATTCAGCTAATTGTAATGGACTGCATTGTCATTTTACATGGTGTCTGTATTCAGCATCAGCACCATCAAAAACTGTGCCTTTAAAAAAACACAGTAAAATCAACGTTATTTGATTTGGGACCAAATTTAGAGGTTTGTCAAATATTTAGAGCTTAATCATACTAAAATAACTGGATTAGTTAAATGGGAAAGTGCTTTTATCTCTGATTTAATAAATGATTCAGCATTAATGTATAAAAAAAAAGGCACTACTTCATCGTTTGCTCTCCAGTGTCTGATCCACTGAGCAGAGGCAGTATCACTGACATGATGTGGTTGGAAGGAGATTTTACAGCAGTATGAGGAAAAACATGTTTGTGCCCCAATGCCCAGTTTTCTAAACAAAGCGAAACACTTTCTGTCTGCTATAAATTAAATCGTTAAAAGTTCTAAAGTTGCTGGCTGAAGCATAAACTATAGCAACTGCACTCCACAGATCTGTTTCCTCAGCTGAGTCATCATTTTTGATTCCCAATTCCTTCGACTTTTTCTGTTTCTCTTTTTCTTTTGTCCTCAGTACTTCCCTGATTAACAGGGCAACCCATTTTTATGTCTGCTGTTGGTGAATATTAACTGTTATACTGGCCAGATGTATCTGGCATAGAGAATATGCAGTTTGCTGGTAATAATGGGGGGGGCTCAGCTTATGGGGATCACAGATGGGGCTCTCAGCAGGACCGACTCCCTTGTCCTATTATGATGGTAGAAACCTCATGAGCTAGGGAGAAGAAATGGGGGCATTATCAGGATGTGTGCAATTTTAAACACATTTAATTGATTTCAAATGAGCCATCTGTTCACATGGTTGTCAAACATAAGGTGTTAAGGGATACTACAGTAAAAAACTGAACCTAGAAGGCCTGTAAGACCAGAGCGCCGACTAAAAACGCTGACAAAATGCTTACAAGGATGTTGATTGTGCATCTTAAGAGCCGAATGTTTGTCAGCGGGATTACGAGGGTCAAGCATTGACAAACTGCAAGACATCTATTAGATTTCAGCAATGAGGAGTAGTCATCAGTCAGTGTTTGGATTTCAAATTTCTCCACCGCAAAGTTTCAGAGCTTTTAACACAGACAGATCAGTAAATATTGCCTTGAGCAATCTTATTTATGATGTGATTTATTATGTGATGAAAGGCTGGATCTACGTCCAACAAAACTCCCCACAGAGAAAACTTGTCAAAGCGCCGACAAAACAGAAAACATTGGAAGACAAAAAAACAAATAACTTTCCTGTTTCTTCACAGGGGTACATAACAGATAACAAATATTAAAATGACAAAAATTACTCATTGGGGACACATTTTTCACGCCTACCTAAAGGGGTTGCTTTTTTATTACACGTCTTCTCTCTAAAATACCCTTTTAAGCAAACATACAGGGAACTGCAGACCTGGATGATCTGTGTTGAACTGAGACCGTCCCAGATTGAGGCTTGAAACTGCTTCAAATATTGAATCTTTTACAATTTTAACTTCCTGATTCTGACACTCTCTTGTTTTCCTGATAAACAACTTTCTAACATCAGAACAAAAACTTTGATTACATTGTAAACCGAAGCCTTTCTTTTTTTAATCCTGCTGATTTCTAACATCTTCCTATCAGAACCCTACTGCGAAACGACTGGGAGCTCTGAATCCTAGATTTGCTCCTCCGTCAGAAACAGATTTGTATATTTCTGACGGTGAAAGTGTCTGAGTGTCTACGATACAGACTGCCACTCTAGGTCCCTGAGCACACCGCACAATGGGGATGGCTTCATTGCTCGGTACTTGTGACAGCCTAATAACAATAAAAAACTGGAAAAAAAAACTTACACTATGCTAGTGGTTGGACTCATTGTGATTGAAGTAATAGAACTAGACATAGTTTTCCCATACATAGTTTACTGGAATATCTTGCAGACAGTCCACGGTGCATTAGAATACCTCCACCTTATCCAATCTGCTGATCCTTAGAGATCTGAGAAAAAAAAAACGTATCTGCTGACTACAACCAAATTAAAAGGAGCAGAAATGAGCAAGCAGACTAATAGGAGGTCCCATGAGCAGCGCCGCTACTTCATCACTTCTATATATGGATCAGCGTGAACTCAGGTAGTTTCTGGGTCTTTGAACAAGTACAAAAAGAAGTACTAACCTCACACGAACGAACGTAGAGGCCTCTCTGGTACTACTTTGACTTTGACTCTATGTAACAGGGGGTTGTTTGATTTTCTGGTAATTGATAGAAATAAGTTTGGACTTTGATGATGATGCTCTGAAGAACAGTTTCTGGAAATAAGTGAACTTAATGTTTTCTGGGCACTTATCTACTAATGTTGGGGTACCAAACAAATATCATATACCAAAATTTTCATAATGGTGACTGATTAAAATCCCTATACACAAAACACATTTTATGAACAGGGGTGGATTTGGGAATTCGGGGGCCTTAGGCAAAAACAGGCATGGGGCCCTCTGAGTTCAGAAGACAACACATAAAACAGACCCATTATACAGATACAGAAATTTTAATAGAATACATATATTATGTGTTCTACGTCTTGTCCTTTTCTTCTTATCCTTTTCTTGCTGTTTTCCTTCTGGACTTTTCATGCGACGGCTAAAGTAAATAACCCAGTCCTTCCTTTCACTGCAGACAAGCCATGATCTGCTTATCTGTTCTCCATTTTTCATTTGGATGAAATAATAGCTGCATGGATCATGACAGCAGACAAGATAGAGGAGAGCAGGAGGCGGGGTTACCAATCTACTTGCTCTGGAGAGCAGAGTTCTGTGCTTTAATTTGTTGTTGCCAAAGTCTAAAGTAGCAGAAAAATGTCGCTAGATTTGGCACTAGGCACTTTTTTGAAATAAAAGTGCTAGAGGGGTCTGAAAAGTCGCTAAATATAGCGACAAAAGCACTGTTGGCAACACTGCTCTTCCCGTCGTTTGTTTTCAAATGGTTTGCTGCTGTCTGTTTGGACCTTTCTGAACATGTGCAGCAAATGGACTGATCCAATATGGTGGACACTGAAGGGGGGGGGCTTGAGACACACTTAATATTATAAGCGTTCTGATGACATTTTAGTGAAAGGATTTTATCCAAAGCATAATTAATGTGCACAATTAAGGAATAGTTGTATAAACTATACATGTAAACAGAGTTTTATGGGGCCCCCAGGAACTTGGGGTCCTAAGCAACTACCTAGGATTGCCTTATGGTAAATCTCTCCCTGTTCATTAAATATACCATCCTATGACCAAGGAAGGGATAACATTTGACTACTGGGACTCAATCTTAGGAACAGAATTGTTTAGGTTTGGATGGGTTACATATCTAAATAATAATAAATAATAAATCCCTTACTGAAGAGATGACATTTGTAGTGCAGCATATACATTAAGAATATTCATATCTTTTGGCCAGAACTATAATACATTAAACATATACGTGAAATGATTAGATAAATTAATGTGTATGATAATGCTGCCAAGAGAGCAGAGTCATAATAAATATTCATACCAGCAGTTTTATGTAAAATACATGTATATAAACAGCTTTCTGTGAGCCTTTCGAATGTTTTATGCATGCAGATTTAATACCAAGCCCCTAATATATGTTACAAGCATGAGTGCATCTTCCTTCTCTGAGCTAGTGGTTGGTTTTTTATGTGTCTGTAGCCTCTTTCCTCATGCATGTGGACCAGTTTTTGTGCGTTCCTGTCAACTTTAGTCATTTTGAGGGTGGAACCAACTGGTTGCTGTCAACTGCCTGTGAGTGGATACTTTAAAAATAAAATAAAAACACCACTTGAGACAGTACCCTTTCCTTC